TGTTTCCTGCAGTGCGGGGGCATGGGAGCCGTTGGCTGGAGGCAGTTTGGAACGGCAGGGCCACCGAGGGTGCAGTGAACGAGGGCATGTCTGCCGCTGGCATCGGGGCTCACCTGGGCCCCCCAGAGATGGAGCCAGTGGCTAACTCAGAAGACAGTGCAGTCAGGAGCCCTGAACCTTGCCTGACGGGCCAAAGGCAGAAGCCAGGCCAGGCAAGTCCCCGGGCGGAAACCAGGGGCGCCCGCTGAAGCCGTGCAGCTTCGCCCTGATGCGGAGGGGCTGACTGGGCCAGGTTGGGGCTGTCATCGGCATGAAAGGTTTGGGAAGAAGTCATCCAAACTCCCCTTGTCCTACGTCTTGCAAAATCAGAAGCGCTGGCCCCCCGGGATTGGTGACGGTGGCAGTGGTGTGCAGTCGGCCACCCCCCTGCCAGCCCCAAGTCCCCAAGAGCACAAAACAAGCTTTATGAGACCTGCTGAGGGCCGTGTGGCCACTGAGGGGCAGAGCCGGAGCCCGAGCTGGGTGTTGTGGCCCCCGGGGCCTCTGAGCCACTGTACCGCCACAGAAAGAGCGCCACCTCGCGCCCCCATGACCCGGGAAAACGCTCAGAAGGCACCACCAAGCTCGGTTCCTTAGCTCACTCTGAGTGGGGCCATCCTAGGCCCTGCCGGGGGCCGAGTAGCACCTCTGGCCTCCACCCACCCGGTGGTAACAACCAGAAGTGTCCCCAGATCTCACCCCCATTGAGAACCTCTGGTCTAAAGCGAAACGTTTCCACGTCTCATTCTGGAGATACATGCACGTACACGTATCTTTAAAACAAACGCTCGCGCTCTTTAGCGTGACGTGGCCGGAGCCAGGTGGCCCCGCATGCGGTGTGGGTGAGGGGCTGACTTGAGGCCAGTGCCCTGGAGGCCGGGTGTGTCCTTCCTCAGCACCCTGCCTGGGACTGTGATTACCTCTTTGCGTGTCTCCCTGCCCCGCGAGGCGGACGGCATCTGGACAGCCCACTGGACCGCGGCCCTGGACGCGGCTCAGAGCGCAGGAGGCCCTCCCACGTGTGGGGCGCTGTTTTCAGTCCTTGGCATGAATTCCATCCCTCTATCCTGCAACACAGGCATTAGGACCCTCATGGTCCGGACCCCCAGGGTGGGGGCTCAGGAGCTCAGTGAACAGGGGACCCAACCGGCTCCTGGGGTTTCTCGCGCCAGGCTGTCTCCATCTCTAGGGAGGAGCGAATTCGCTCAAGAGATGAGTCTTGGGCCACGTCGGTGTCGTCGAGACAAGCCGTGTCACGCGGCAGTAACAAACAGCCCTGACACCACGGACTGCTTCTCACACCACGAGGCCGTGGCCGCGAGGGGCTGTGCTCACGGACTCTTGCTTGGTTTCCCCAAGTACGGCAGCGGGGAGCGGACCGTGGGGACACCACAGTCACTCCCAAAGCTGGCTCGAGAGAGGACTGCACGTGGCTCCGCTCACCTGTCGGTGGTGGAGCCACGTCCTGTGGCTCCTCTCACTTGAGGGGCGTGGCGGGCCTTCAGAGCGCCCGCATGTCAGATGGGGTGGCTGCCACGTGGGGAGGGCGCACGGTGGCTCTGGAGACGCCGCCACTGGCCTGGGCGCCAGGGTGCCGGCGTGTGAGCCTTCAGGGGACCCTGACGGCAGCCTCACGAGCGACCCTGAGCCACTGCCGAGTCCCCGACCCGCAGAAACAGGCCATGAACGCTTGCTGCCACTGCAGGCCGCTGGGCTCAGGGCAGTTTGTTACGCAGCGACACGTAGCTGCTGGGGCGCCAGTGACGGCCGAGTCTGTTCACAGCGGACCTCCCCCACGTTCTTTCCTCCTCCCGGTGGAAGGAGTTAATGTTTCGGGCTCCTGCAGGGGCCCCTGTGGGGCTCGGTCGGGTAAGTGGCCAACTCTTGGTTTCGGCTCATTTCAGCTCAGGTCGTGATCTCACGTTTCGTGAGCTGGAGCCCCACGTCGGGTTGTGCGCTCACATCGCGGAGCCTGCTTCCAATTCTGTGTCCCTCTTTCTGCGCCTCCCCTACTTTCGTGCTCCCTCTCTCTCTCTCAAAAATAAGCAAATGTTTAAAAACAAAACCCAAGTCCTGCACAGGGCTGGTTTGAGGCATCGGCTCACGTGGGTGGCAGTCGTGGTAAAGGAGTGAGCACTAACGCCACCCCAGCGCTCCCCGGGGCAGTCTCACCGACCGCTGGCTCCAGCAATGGCGAGGGGCCAATGAGTGAGGAGAGAAAGGGGTTCGTAGCCCGACCGACGGAGAAGCGAGTCCCAGCTGGCAGAGAGACCCCCCAGGCTACACTTCTGTAGCCTCTGGGCCTCGGTTTCCTCCTCTGTCGTGGGGCTCCGATCCACAGAGCTCGCTGGGTCAGCACATCCGCCCACAAGCCCCACACCGGGCAGCAGCCATGACCGCAGTGGCGGTCACGTGTTGACCAGCATGTACTGAGCACCGGCCGTGCGCCAGCCCGGCCTCCACTAAGCACCCGCTGCTTACGGGCCAGCATTTGCTGGGGTCCATTGCTCGCTGGCCCATAGAAAGGTGAGACGACGTGCCCAGGTCACACGGGAGGTGAGTGGAGCCTCCGCGTACCTTCCCTCACCTGGAGCGGAACGGACAGAGGAGGAGTGTAAGCCTCACGGTCGCCCGGCCCCCTCCTCTCTGGGATCCTTGGCCTGACCGTGAGCCTGCACCGAGCCTCAATACCTATTGGTCACGGTGGAAATGCTAACGGGCCACCAGCCACGGTAGCGCTGGGCCACCGGCCAGGCCCTAGGCTGCCAGTCCAGTGAGGGAGTGAGACACGGGGCGAACCAGCCACCCAGGCTCACCCTGCAACCCGCACGTAACCGCCGTGCTCCCCAATCAGCTCGTGAAGCCCCCTGTACGGCCAGGCCGTGCAGTGGAACCTGAGCCATGCCCACCTTCGCCGACAGCTCACAGCAGGGTCAGCCCCCTCCTGTGCTGGCGCTTTTGTGCCCCAGTCGCTGTTGTAGCCATTCAGCTCTGCCTTTGCAGCGACCACAAGCAACATGTCAATGGATGCACGAGGCCTTGTGCCAATAAAGCTTTATTTACAAAATAGACGGGGGGGGGGGGGCTGGGGCAGACTTGACCCCCTGGTGTAGTTTGCCTACTTTTGGCCCATGGGACTGTGACAGAATGAAATAAGCTAATCCGTATTAAACGCTGGGCTCAGCTTTTGGCCAAGAGTGACCACCCCGTAAGCGTAAATGTGATTGTCGGGCGGTCCCTGTGGGGCAGTGCCCGTTGGTTGACTTAACAGACATTTCTAGAGCACCTGCCATACGCCAAGCAGTGCTCTAGGCACTAGGGTTCCTGGGCCGACATTCCGAAAGGACATCTTACACTAAGTCGGATGGTGGTAACTGCCATGGAGAAAAATAGAGGAGGCAGGGGAGGTCCCCACAGGAAAGGTGACATCTCAGTAAAAACTCAGGAGCTGGAGGGCCTGTGGGGGAAGGGCACTCCAGGCAAAGCACATAGTCCGTGCAAAGGCCCTGGGGCTCCCCCAGGCCTGGTTTGTTGGAGGAAAATAGATGGGGACAGGGGAGGGGTCCCAGGGCTGTGCCGGACTCTGCTCAGCTGGCCCAACACGCCTATCCTCCTGCAGGACGGCCTTCAACAACAACGTCGGCGTGGCCTACGAGTGCCTGAGTGCCAGTGGGCGCAAGAAGAAGCCGGGGCTGGACGGGCGCACCTACAGCGAGCTGCTCAAGCGCATCTGCCGGGACGGGGAAGCCCCCGAGGAGGTCGTCGCACCGCTGCTGCACAAGATCCAGTGCCGGGACCATGAGGCCGTGCCGCTGGACGTCTTCCGCGCCGGGATGCTCACCTGCTTCGTGCTACTGGAGTTCGTGGCGCGGGCCGGCGCCCTCTACCAGCTGCTGGAGGACCCCACGCTGGCTGTGGCCGACCGCCGCGTGGGCCAGGCCGTGCTGGACACCCTGGAGGGGGCCCTGCAGGCCAGCGATGGAGCTGCTGTGCCTGCCTGCTTCCTGGAGGCTGGCTCGCGCCTGGGCCCCGACAGCCTGGCGCTGGCCATGGACCGCGCCCTGGTGGCTCGGCGGCCCAGCTCCCCCATGACCCGGGAGGAGTTCCTGGAGAAGGCTGCCGCCCTCTTCATAGCCAAGGTCAAGCCGGTGGGCTGAGCGCCCACACGCCTTCCCTGCCTCCTCCCCCTGGGCGGCTGGAGGCAC